AGATATTCGGACTTATTTGTTGATGTTCAATTTTGCATCGAGATTTCGATTATGATGATGAAAAGTATATAAACATTGTGTATGTTTTAAATTATGAGAACATTGTACATGTTATGGGCATTTTGGAAGCATTGTATATGCCATGTAAATTTCTTGAAAATTTGAATTTTGGTCAAACATTGTGAATGTTTTGGGAAATGGTAAATTTCATGTTAATATGGGACTTGTGTATTGTGTCAATGAGGATAAATGACCGTAGAATTGGTCATGGTGATTAACTTGTAAGAATACCCTTGTTTTGAATGATCTAAAGTTGATTTTGAACTTAATTTGAAATTTCGAGGATGAAATTCTTTAAGGGGGGGAGGTTATAACGATCCTGATTTTGACTCGACTTTTGTTGTATTCCAGACTCGGGTCTTGTGGTTTGATATTGTTATTTATGTCTTTTCCTCCTTTTACTCTTTGAATTTGAGTTTTGGAATGTCTTGGGCGTGCTTAGAACAAGTTGGTTGCTAGTTGGCCTAGTATGTTATTGCCCAGAATTTTGGTCTTTCGCTCAAGCGGAGTTCGCAAACATTCAGTACTTTGCACGTCTGCAAAAAATACTGGGGAAGTGTTTTTCACGCTCGAGCTGCGTTTCTTACGCTCGAGCGGCGTTTCTTATGGTCGAGCGTCGTTTCTTACGCTCGAGCGGGTAGGCATTCGAGCGGTTTTTCTTGAGCTCGAGCAGTCCGTTTGTTGTTTGCAAAAAATACTGCAAGTGTGTGTTTCGCGCTCGAGCGGGTCAAGTTTTTGTGTCTGACGCTTGAGCGTTAAACTCTCTGCTTGAGCAGACGGCGCGTCTATCAGATCATAAAAGTGACATTTTATATCACTTTTTCGGCCCTCTCTCTCTAAAAATTTCCAAAATCCTAAATCCACACACTCTCTCTCTCTCTCTAAAATACACACTCTCTCTACATTTTGGCCTAGATCCTTTGATCCCTTCACCCTTGTACCTTTGAGAAAAAGTTAGAGCATCTTAAGATCTACATTTTGATCCGAGTAAAGTCAAGTTTGGGCATCTTTGAGGTTTCTCCATTTCTCCTTTGAGCTTCTACCCTTGAGGTAGGGATTTTCTACACTTGTTATGGTTTTTAACTTAGATATTTTGTGGTTGTGTAACAATGGTGGATTTGGGAGTATTTTGAATACAAACCTAGGTTTTGGTTGAAATGTAATAGAGGGGTTTTTGGTGGAAATAGAATAAAAGAATATGGGGTTTGAAAAAGTAATCTTGTGATGTCAAAATAGTTGATTTTGGTACTTGGTTAAGATTTGGGAAAAAAGAGAAATTTGCCCTAGAATGATTATTATATTTATTTTGTATACATAAATGAAATTGATGTTGTAAACATGAAATTGGACAAGTATGGAGATAGATGGTGAAATGGAATAGGCGATATGTCTTGCCTTTGCAAATCTTGATTAAATTATCTGTATTGAAATTGTATGTCTGTTGGAAATATTTGTATTGGTTGTCATCGAATATGACTATGTATAAATACATTGTATATGTATGTTATTTGAGAGAAGAAAGGGGGTGGACTCTACTATAATTAAGTTGGTTAGAATGTCCTTGGTGAAAGTCCTAAAATTATACGTGGGTGTCGCTCTCGCGGACAAAATATCTGTAAAATGGCAAACTGAAATTACACATGGGTGCCAATTCCCACGGATGAAATATCCATAAAATAGAAAGTTGGAAGTGTTATGTGTTGAGTGTGAAATTTGTTGAACTATTGAGTTGTAGTCTCATTTGGATTAATGAAAGTAATGAAATTGGCTCATGTATTGAGATGAATTGAAAGCAAACGAAATGGAATATGGAATTGATACTTTACGAATGTATGTAAGGGTATGAATGTTTTTAGCCCTAGCATTGTTTATGCATACTGCTCTTATATTTTTGTTAAATCTCATATATTGTGTTAGATTGTTCCTACTGAGCTGTGGCTCACCCTATTTGGAAAAAACCTTTTTCAGGTAATGATGGCATGCCTCCACCAAGGCAATAGCATTGGAGGGATATTCGAGAAGCAAGAGAGCTTCTAGTTTTGTTTCATATTTTGTATAGCCTAGGGCTTTAATTGTAAGGGATAGTCCCGCTTTTGTTGTAACCAAGTCAAGACTTGGAAAGGTGTAAGCCCGAAGGGTATTTATCTATGATTAAATCCTCTTGTATTATTAACTTCATGTAACGAAAGAATTGTTTACTCTGATGGATGTTGTCATTTATATATATTATAGGTTATACCTTTAGTCCTATTTTGAGGGCGTTACACAATTGTTCAAATTTCTCACTTGTGAGTTGTCTGATTTCTAGGTTTGGAGAGGGAATGGGTGCTTTATCTGGAGTTAGTTTTTTAATCTAGCTAGTTAGGGTTCGAATGGTTGCTCTTAAATGTTTTTTCTCATCTTAGAGCTGGTTTAGCTCTTCACTAACCTTTTTGCCTTTGTCCTTGATTTTCTTTAAATTTTTGGAAAGGCCTTCATAATGTGTACACATTTGGAGAGAATTTTGAGAATTTGGCTGAGGATTAGTACTATTGCTTCCTGTTTTCTGGCTAATTGGAACTCCACTAGTAGCAAGAATAGTTGACTGCATCTTGCTCAACGTGTCCAGATAAGCTTTAGCTATTTGGCTAATAAAATAACTAGTTCCTATTTGTGTGCGGGCATATGTACTGACTAACTCAAAATCATAAAATCCCTTAAATTGAGGTACGGAAAAAAATTTAACTAAAGGTTCAACTTCTATCCAGTCATGGTAAATACCAGGCTTGGTTCATTTAGCTACTACATAGAAAGAAAAACTTTTAGACAACGGTTTATTCTGAATTTTTGAAAAATATATACTGAGAGAATTTAAAGCGGACAAATGTTTGGGTGGGTGGTTAAGGTTGTTCCAAAGTTGTATCTTTTTCTTTAAATTTTCCAAAACCATATCAACAAATGCATTTTTTATTTTTACTATCATATTTGTTAGATTTAGCTAATAGCACTGTTCCCCATCCTAATTAGCTTGCATCTGTTTCTACGACTATATATTCTGATTCTAAGGGAAGTTGTAAGTCGGGTAAATTTCTACAAATGTCTTTAATTTTTCTTACTAAGGCTATATCTTGTTGGTTAAAATATTTTTGTCCTGTAGGTGTAGTCTTGTTATATAGAGGTCCTATTATCTTGCTAAGGTTAGGAATGTACATTCGTGCATAATTTAGAATTCCTAAAAATGATTGAAGTTGTTTTGTATCTTCTAATTTACCTGGGTAGTCTAAAATTTTCTTTACTATATGAGGTTGTAGTCTGATTTTATCATCTCCTAACTCCATTCCTAAAAATTCTATATGAGGTTTATTTAATACTATTTTTCTTTTACTAATTATTATTCCACTATTTATAAATTCTTCTAATACTATATATAAATGATCTATATGAATATGTTTATCTGGCTAAATACTAATATATCATCTATATATACCAATACAAAACTATATTTATTGAATATACTATCCATTTTACGCTAAAATATGGAAGGGGCATTTTTAAGTCCAAAAGGCATGACTAGCCATTCATAATGTCCTTGTGGGCAACAAAAGGCTGTCCAATGTATGCTTTTCTTTTTTATTTTTATTTGCCAGAAACCTGACTTGCAATCAAATTTGCTAAATATTCTTGTTGTCTGTATTCTATTGATGAACTGATATTTATCTGGTATATTGTATTTATCATCTTCTGTGTTATCATTTAATCTTTCATAATTTATAACCATTATAGCTTTGTCTCTTTTTATCTCTTCATGATTTCTTACCATAAATGCGGCGCTTTTATGTGGACTATTACTAGGTCGAATTACTCCTAAATCTAATAACTCTTTAATTTGTATTCTAGATTCTTCTACATTTGCTGGCGTATGATCTATTTATGCTGATGTAAGCCTATAATCTTTATTTTTTATATCTAAACTAGCTAAGACTTTATTTCTTTCCCAGTATTTAATGGGCTGTTCTCCTAAAATTTCTGTTTTTACAGCTAATTTTATTATTTCATCTAAATTATTTTATGTTCTTTTGTATATTGGTTTTTTCTTCAGTTTTCCTCTATTTGCCAAAATTAATTCTAAGTTAACAATTTGTTGACAATCTTCTAAATTCCAAGAGTCATATTTTTCTTCTAGTTGAAAATCTTCTAAGTTTTCTAATCCAAAATCTTCTATGTCTAAATTTTCTAAAGAAGTATTTGCTATCTCTTCATTTGGTATATACTTTTAGGCTAGCTCAGGAAAAATATTTCTACGAGGAAATAAAAAACTAGCGGGAACGGAATCTACTCCTATGGTACCACCACGCTTCGCATGCAACTATGATGAATGAGCAATGGTGCTAAGGGCATATGTTGTGGGTGTATAAACTGTTCATTTGAAGAAACTAATGCTACTATCGCTGATAAACATGTCACCTTGTAGACTGAGTATGAAATTAAGGCCTAATATAAAGGGAGGGTTTTGTCGAGCATTCCCAATCCAAACTTAGGATAAAGGGAACCATTCTATATGTTGAGTTTGAGAGCCGATATGATGAAAATTAATTTGTGCTCTGTTAATGCAATGTGTATATGCATGTCTAGTGCCATTGTCTATACTGACTAAACACTATAAGAAAATCAAGATTTAGCAGGATTTTTTATTGTATCAGCCGAAAAATGCTACTATAGATGGGCTATTGTAGCGATTATTAACTGCAACTAAAACTAAAATTTTTAGCAGCATTTTTTCCCTAAAACGCTGCCATATATTTCTTTTATAGTGACAGTTTGACCTCAAACATTACAAAAAAACCAAGGAAAAGGCCCGCCAAATTGATTTCTGATTTCGCTTCTAATTTCGCGCGAAATCATTTTTTTTTTCTTTTTTTCTTTTAAACATATCAAAATTTCAGTCCAAAAAAAAAATACCATTCTACTCCTTCTCCTTGATTACATGTGCCCTAGTCTATCAACACTTCTTTTGCGAAGTATCAGAGCCTTCGTTCATCCTCCACCGTGGCGTGTTGACGACGGCAAGCTACCACCGTGGTTTGAAGGTTAGTCTACTCTCTCTGTTTCTCTTTCTCTATCCCCCTCTTTCTTCTGTCTCTCAATTTCTCTCTCTACCCCTCTCTCTTTCTTCTACTATCTTTGTTTTTCTTTCTCCCTCACTGTGTTCTTTCTCCCTCATCATCTGTTTCAAATTACACTGCACTTCATGTTCTCTACTCCTTCCATACCAATTAGCAAAACCCTTTCACTCTGCTTTGTTCGATTTAGGTCAGTTATCTACTGTCATTTCCCAAACACTATAACCATTAAACAATCATGAATATGAAGAATCCCATAAAAACATAAAGCGTCTTCAGACAAGTTTGGGTCCATGGAATTCATTGTTAAGATTTCCAAAACTTCTCTACTTTGAAGGATTTCATGAACATCTTGAATGATTTTGATTTGGGAAAATAATTTATAAAATAGATATTTTAACATGTTTTGCATTCTAAATATGATATTCACACACACACATATATTTGATCATATATGATATTCATATTTTAACCAATGTAATTAGTGAAGTGAATGGATTGTTGTTGATACTACAGAGTAAAATCTCATGCTTGAGGAATCATTATGTATGCTAGATATTTGATAAAATGCCACAAGGGATAAATGGCAAGATTGGCTACAAACGGCTCACAAGATTCAAAAGTACGGTGACTTTTACTTTGGAAGACAATATGAATTCCACCGAAAAATGCTTACTATAGTAACTAATTTTAGTTACTCCACTAGTTTATTGTGAAAACTTCAATTTTATAAATAAAGTTGGAGGAACTTTATTATAGCATTCCATTAGGAGTCTACAATGCAAAAATCTATTTCTTGAAAAGAACACAGACTTGTTCATCACTAAGGTAGGGAACAACCATGTCCTTATGTGGAAGAATTTAAAATTTTAAAACTAAATAGATAAAAAAAACTTGAACACAGATTTCCAGACTAAAAATTTTCTTGAGGTAGGCAATTACTAGGTCCAGGGGAAAATTTATTTCGGCCAACTTTCTCTTCAATATACTGAGAGATTGCGAAGTTTGGATATAAAACCTCAAGTCAAACTTACAACATCCAAATCAACTATTTTATTAACCAAGGTTTATGTTGTTAAAACTGAGACATACTTCTATAACAGCCCAACAACAAAATCATGCAGTAGCTTCTTCCAACAAACAATAATTGTCGATAATGAACAAGAGAATACAAAATAATATCTTGTATATTAAAAATGTGTTGATTTTAGATAAACGAATCAAAGTATAAAATGATATCCTACTCATTAAATTCACGCTACACCTGAGGGAAGTTACCAGCCATTCCCATATCATTAAAGGCCTCTAACGTTTCCAATATATGAAATCTCTGCATGACCACAAAAAAAATGTATCTTGAAACTGACATGTAGATATGCATACATCTAATACCTCGTTAACCTTAAAAAGCCAAACCAAAACAATAGAAAGGGAGTGGAATTTGAAAATTAATTTAAGAAATTCATTTTCTGTTGTCTATGACCTCTAAAGCATACATTGAGAGTCAAAATATTTTTATCACATCCACTAGCACTAACTAACTAACAGAAGCTTATCTATGACTGCTAGTTTTCTACCCATTTATTAACAAACATCTAACTGGATACTATGAAGTTCATGAACCCTAATCAAATTTGTCTATAAGAGTTTCAAGATTAAAAATCATAGTACTCAATATTTTTAATCATGTTGTCTAAAATTAAATGCCTTTAAAATTTAAAAATATTAATTAATTTTGAAAAAAGAAACATAATTTGAAGTTGAATGTGAACTCTGAGCATATGATCTCATAAACCAACATATGATTTAAAAGAAAAATAATATAAGAGACCAAGGAGATCAACTTAATTATCTGTCTCTTCAATTCATACCACCCCAAACCACATATCAAGGAACCCAGGTAACCACAAGAATGAAACTTAAAAAGAATTAAAAATATATATATATTATAAATCAGGAATAGAGATATAAGTCCAATACCATATCCAAATCCATGTTTGGAGGAAAGACAAGATTTCTTTCCCTATTTAATGTCCTAGGTACATGTCTGGGTAAACGACTCCTCAACTGTGTCAATCGTGAAGAGGTAGAACCTAGAGCCTAAGTGCCTCTCCGAATTGAAGGGTTTTGAGAAGACCGTGATTGGGATTGTTTATACAAATTTGAAATTAATGAACCTCTCTGCATAAAATGCATAAGAAATAACCTTTGAGAACATATCACAATAATAATAAGCATACCATTGAACAATAAATATCTAGGAAAATAAGGTGATAACTATTGTAAGATTAGCACAATGGGATGATTCAAACAAAACTGCTTTTAAAGATGAAAAAAGGTTTTATCATCTTGCATCAATATAATTAAACATAGAAACCAAATGCCATATCATATTTTAATACAATTTTTCCTACCTAAAACTTCCATTGTTCAAAGCTACTAAGAATTGTTCTGTAGTGTCCATAAGAAGAACAATAAAAATTAAATTCCAAGAAGCAGCGAGAACTAGAAAGTGGTTGAATTAGTGTTTTCTTCTTTTCTTCTTGTGTTTTGCAGGCTACGTTCACTGACATTCTGAAACTAAATGGTATGCCTTCTTCATTCTTATTTGCTTAAATCTCATGTCAAGGCTGATGCTTCATTGAGTCGAGTCGAGTCGAGTCAAGTCTATGAATCTAATTTAAAAGTGTCTGTGAAAGTTTAGATGATACTCAAATTCTATTTAGCAGTATGTTGCATTTTAGTAATGAACATTGAAAAATGACCCGCAAATGTTTCATTATTCCAGTGGCTTAAATGATCCTTATGGATGTATTGCACTTCAATGGGAAATTAGGCCTGCTCTTGAATGGCCTAGGATTTATTAAAAACAGTTAGTTGGATAAATAGATAAGTAGCCAGGCAGCAGCAATCCACAACCCAGATATCTCATCCAAGATAGACTTTACTATCTTTTCTCTTATGCATGGCTGTGAATGTGCTACCACTCACACACACACACACACACACACACACTCTCTCTCTCTCTCTCTCTCTCATCCACTCAAGGGAACAAGTAATGCTTGACACCCTCACTTGACACACATCACATTCACATATAGATACTCATAACTCCTACATACTAACCATTTAAATTTTCAGTCAGGGTATTTTTTTTATATTTTTTTAAATATGGAGAAACAGAGAGGCTTGTATTTGATGGATGCCTCTGAAATCACAATGGCCATTGCTTTTCATTTATGTGATGTGTGTAAAACTTGACTAAAGACTTAAAAAAAGGGGGGAGAATATTTGGAAGGTCATTTAGACTATTGGATTGGATGGGAATGATGCTCAATACAGGCCTGATATTGTAGAAGGAGTACTATCACTAGCTGTTATATTAAATATTGGACCCATTACCTGAGGGCATTCAAATCTGGGATCCAAGGTTAATTACACTGCACATTGTCTTCTTTGAATTTTTTTTTTTCTGTTTTTGTTGAGAGAGAGCACCTTTTAAATGAATCACATATGCTTTAAGCGGTTTTGGGGTTTAATTACACTACACCTTTTATTTATTTATATTTATTTGAAAGCTTTTATTAGTGAAAAAGCAGAATGTACACTAAACCTCGGGCACAACCCCAAAGGGAAACACAATAACACCTCTCCTACGTTGCTACCACACATATTTTGCATGTATGCCATTGAGAATCAAAGGTATTAGACAGTGTGCATATTGTCATCCTATCACACATTTTACATGCTATTCAAAGTTGGCTCAATATCTATGGCTTCTCATAAAAGAAATGGAACTTCTTTACACTATCAAATTGGTATATATAGATGTATGGCCCATTTGAATACTATTCCACTATCCATTGTGAATGTATATTAAAATGAAGATTCTCCTCGGAAGTCTTTTCTCTTCCATTCAACATGTGTTGTGCTAGCTTCTTTTTTTACCCTTCACCAGTCAACAAGCTTTTGTTTCAATTGCAATGTATTCATGTAGTTATTGTTTTCAATTCGAGTACTATGCTTTAATTTATTTTTTTATATGATTTCCATGGACTATCTTATGTCCTCAAAACGTCCATTTCTCAACCTTATCCAATATTTCTTTCCTACTGAGAGCCTCTTCCTTTGCTTTTATTATCTGGTTATCCATGTCAGCAAGTAACTCAGAAGGATCGACATTTCCAGAATCAATTAGAGCCATAATTTTTTCTTGAGCAGCCTCTGAATCAATCTCACTATGAGCATGAGCAAAAATCTCCTCAAGCTCAGTTTGCCTTTTTTAAACAATTTCCTTCATCCTGCTAGCTTTTAGTTGATCAAGCCTTTCAACTTCCACCTCAGCCTTGACAACAAAAAACAAGTCAATATTTAAACAGCAGGTATTCAATACAAATTCAAGGACCTTGTGCAACCTCTCACTCTACCACCAGATCAAATAATCAACCAAAATTCATTGACTCGGTGGGTATGAAAGTTAGTCAAGTTGATATTAACCGAACAATATGAAATAAGTTACCTTTTCCTTTTGCAGTTCTTGGAGCCAAGACTGAAACTCATTGTAGATGTCTCCGAACGCCCCGGGAGGATGAGGTCCCGTTCTGTTCGTTTTGCGGGTCTACTACAGTTCAAGACTCTCAGATTGTCACGGTTCTTAATCTAAACCAAAGAGTCCAAATCTGGCAAATCGTTTTGAGAAACAGATTTTTGAAAAGAAGTGCCAAACAAGGACTGCTTTGCCAGATACAGAGTCGCCACCTAAATATTTTTTATAGGGAATTTAGGAAACCCTGACTCGGTGCCAAAGGCCACGTGTCCGTCATCACCAAAGTTGCCTCGGCTCAGGAGCTTGGGTACGATTGGGAAAGGTCAACTATGAGCACCTCCGCTCACCCGATCTGAAGATCGGTCTCTACTAACCGTGATATCCGTTTTTGAAAACGTTATGTGTTCTTATTCCATTTGTTAGCCTAGAATTACTATGTTATGCGCACGGCAAATAAGTATAGACCAAATCGCCTAAATTGGAACAAAACATTTCATGCTTGCTTTGAAAATGGTTTGCTACTCGCAAGTAGGCTGAAATGCAGATTTTGCCACCCTCAAGTAGGCTTTAGAAAAGATGGTTTTGCCACTATCTAGTGGACTTAAAACTCACAGTTTTAATGCATTATTCCAATTTAGGTAATTCAACCTCCATCCACAGGCATTCAAGCAGTTATATCACATAAGCAGCTAGCCTCATGGTAATCATGCTGTTATGGCAACACTCACACGCATACGAGATGTTAAAGCATAAAAAGCTCACCTCGTACTCCAAGCCAAAACAGAAACTAGTTAGTAATCATATGCATGATTCTAGTTTAAGATGGCTAATGCAACACATGCAAAATGCAACTAGAAATGGGCTCGGCTATTCTAAACATGGCATGTGAAATGCTACAACTAACACGTATTCAATTTGGAATTGAAACACAATGTAGTTAGTATGATGTGCCGAGCCCGGTGCATGTAAGACAAATGTATGGATGCACGCATGCTATCATATTGTATGCTAATTGAAACATGCCATAAACTAACCATCGAAAGCTAGTAAATAAAAGGGAAGAAAGGCGTGGGATTGGGAGACATACACACTCACGCATACTTATTACACAATTGCCCTCACTCGGAGGGTCCGAATAAATATTAAAGTCTGAATAAATAATACTAAATTAATTATTACAGAATTTCTAATTAATTAACAAATTAAATGCAGGAAGAAGGTAGCCGCAGCCCTGCCTCGGGATGCGTGAATGATGCATGCTTGACTCGTCTTGCCCGAAAATCTGTACCATGCCACTGTTGCCTCTGTTTACACTACATTGCTCCTCTGAGGACTGCCAAAGTCCGAGGGCATGCTCTCTGGATGTTGGGAAATATCACCGACCAAGTAGAAACACCACCGACCTAACAGGATGATCGTCGGCCGCCTTTTAACCTGTCGGCCACAGATTACTGGTCGGTCGGCACTGCATTTAGCCGATCGGCCAAAGCTTCTTGCAGAACCTGCAATTGACAGCAGCAGAGGGCAAGCAGTGTATGGCATGGGATTTTCAGGCAAATGTATGCATGGCCACACCCCCTGTCATGCAATGGACTCAAGGGAGCATGGCCCACGACCCTCGGGCCACCAATTGCGCATTTCGATGCATGATGGCCGAAGAGCCAAGTATGCATTTCAATGCCAAATGCAATACACACAAAACATACAAGGGACCCAACCTCAATCATGGTTGATCAAGAGGCGAGGCAATGCACAATGGTGCACATGCGACCTAAGCATGCAAGCAAACATACAAACATGCAATGCGACTACATGGCACACACAATGCTAACAACATAACATACACAACGCATTGAAACATGGCATACATAATGCAGGATGGACTTATACCAATGTGAGTGGACCTCAGCCACACTCACATCAGTGGCCAATAAGATGGAAATGAGGCAACCGAAATGCACACAAATATGTCCAATGCATGGACCGATCCTAAGATACAACATGCAACTCTAACTAAGCATGGAAAATGTTGAAACATGGCATATGAACATGCAAATTTCAGCACTGAAGTGTGATGCCCAATGGTCCCGAATCATGCAAATATGTCATACAATGCATGCTATAAGCCCCGAAACTCAAAACTAGGCACATATATTGACTTATAGCTATACAAAGCATGCATTATTTGACTATGAAGAACAAAGACAGAGCCAAGGCAGCCCCAAAACATGCACATTTCTAGTTGAAAGCATGGTCAAAAGATGCTAGCATGGTAGACTAAAATAGCATGCAACTTTGACTAGCAAACGTGGTTTACATGGAAAGTGTGTGAAGCATATGGAGTCTCACCAAAAAAGAAAAAATCAATGAACAAAACATGTGAAAATAGGCCCAAATAACCACTGAAATGAAGCCAACACATGCAAAAATGATGAGCTCCTTTAGAGGGCTATGCAAGGGATTCTTAAGCACATACAAGATGGACACTTAGCATAGCCAAATAAACTTTGAAAATAAAATATGATAGTCCCAAAACTTACCAAATTGACTCTGGAAAGTGACTTCGAAGCATGCAAGGTAGGGTCTCTTTGGAAGGCCAAAAAGGGCCACCAAACAAGAGAATGAGAGAGGGGGTCACCCCCCCTCTAATCTTGGCTCTCAAAACAGTGTTCCAGCCACTGAAAATCCATTGGATTTCAGTGGCTAGAAGGCCAAAACAAGGCCAATGCAAATGCTCACATGTATGGCTCAAAACATGAAGAAATAAGGCATGCAAGGAAGGAGATGACCTCAAACAAGAAAATTCCCTTAATCAAACATCAAGAGGGCCTCAAAAAAAAAATTTTTCCAGTTTATAACAAATCTCAAAAAGAAACACAAATAGGGCTAAACTATCATGCAAGGATGGCCCTAAAAGAGAGAATAGAGACAAGGGACAGAATCTGGCCTCAAACAGTGAAGAGCCCTTCAACAAAGTTTAAGAGGGGCTCAAAATAAGGCACTTTACAGTTCATCTCGAAGCCCATAAATGCTTAAAAACAGGGATAACATATCATGCAAGAAATAGCCATAAAAGAGGGATAAAGAGAAAGGGGTAGCAGGTGGCTTCAAACAGAGACAAACCCTTGATCAAACATGACGATGAGCTCAAAATATGACTATTTATAGTTTGGGTCAGAGCCAAAAAATGTAAGCAAAAGGAGCTAAAATATAGAGCAAAATAGTGCAAAAAAGGGGAACATAGGAGCTTACCCTTGTAGAACAACAACACACAAAATAGAGCAAAAAGAGAGAGAAATGAGGCTCACCCTTGTAGTCCAAACTTCCAGCAGCTTTTGGTCCGAGAAATGGTGTTCCTAAGCTCTGAAAAACAGCCTTAAGTTGCTGGAATGGAGTATGGAGGTTGTAGTCTATGAGTGGTAGTGTAAAGGAGGGGCAAGAACCTTAGGGTTTGAAGGGTTTGGAAGAGAGAGATAGGGAGAGAGTTGAAAATTTTAGAGAGGAAAAATGTTTTTCTTCTTTCAAGTTGTATCTCTCTTCTTCTTCCTTGTGTTCCCCTTTTGAGAGAGCTTGATTGATATAGATATATCAATCTGCAGCTCCTCAGAACTCCCACGTCCAGGTATGGGCTGGGGTATGGCCTAGAATGACAGCTGCCAGCTGTCTACAGAAATATATGTTGAAAACCACATTTGGCCGGCCGGCTATCAAAGTGGTCGACCGGCAGTCAAATTGGCCGGCCGGCTATCACATTTGGCCGATTGAAAATCAAGGTGGCCGATGGGCAGGAGACTTGGTCGGCAGGCTACCCCCTTCCCTCAGGAACACATCCACAAGCTCTTGGTGCAATCAAGCACAAAACAGAGAAGTTAAGAGATTCTAAGGCAAGGCGCGCAGCCAAGACTTTTCGAAACTCAAAACAAACGCAAGCATGGATAATCATCGCATGTTCAAACGATGACGTCCAAGCCTTGAGGACGGTCAAAAATGGGGTGTCTACACTCATCCAATGCATATAGTAAGGAATACTTTCATAGTATGTTACATGATCTTATGCCGGCGCATTTGCATAATGTAGTGCCAACCATGTTTCATAATTTGGCATCAACACAGTTTCATAATGTAACTTCTACACATGTTCATGACTCTAGGCTTCCGCATTAGCTTGAACTTTATTTTGTGGATGCTAGTTATAGCAGCATGGATTAGTTTTTTTCTTTTTGTTATTATTTTTTTTTTTTGCCTCTGTAAATTAGAAGCAATAGTTAACAAAGGAACTATTCTTATCCAATTTATTTTTGCTTTCTTATGTTTCTCATATTTTTGGCCTTGAATTTCCATTGATTTGAGTAGGGTTGATGTGGGAAATGGTGGGGCTAGATGAAATATCATACCACATCATACTTGAGTGCTTTTATGATTTTGTTGAGGAGTGTGAATATTCCCAAATGACATGTTGAAAAATAGATTTTACACAATTCTATGTTTCTGTCCCAACTTGTTGACCCACATGCAGAGACAGTTGGCACAAGGATGATCATCACTTATTTACCATTTTCTTAGAGGATGCAATTGGGTGACTTGTTCGTACTCAAATGGCAATGATCCTTGTAACCAGCTTTTCCTTGCAGGTCTTTAGCACTTGGAATTTAATTGAAGTTGCCGATGAAGTCTGATTCGTGTTGACTGGTCTCCTGGTAAGGCTTCAACTAAAGCTTTTCACTACCTCTTAGATTGCTTTCCTAGGACAACTTTATATTAAGAGTCATTATCTTAGTTTTACAGTGCAAGAGGTTTTAGTCTTGCACTTTCTTCGCCTTTGATGTTTGAATTGATCCTCCACTGTCCCATCTAGGTTAGATAGTGTTTTATGTTTGTGATTACTATTAATCACAATATCTTGATTATTGTTGTCCTGTTTAGTTTGGTTTTCCAGGACAATTTGTTATTCATCTGGGTTAGACTTAGATACGCCCTGTTTGTTTAAAAAAAAAAAATTACAGCTTATTTAGCTTAAAATAATGTGCTTAAACAGTGCACTTCTAAAGCAGGGGGATTAGTTCTTCTTTTTGGGTTTTCAACTTTAAAAACTTAAATAGTCTCTATTTTTTTTAAGCTGGATTTTAGTTGCTTTTTCAATATTATGTTTTTTTATTTTATTTAATTGGAAACAAATGGAGCCTACTGTTGTTCGATTGCTATTGAAAACCCCTCCTGGCTGATTCAATTGTTAATTCTTTGATTGCTCAACCCTGTTTAATCTCTTGTTATTGTTGTTGTTGTTGTTGTTGTGTCTTCTTTTTTAGAAAGTAATTTGTAGACATTATATTAATCAAATTCAAATTGAAGCAAATGAACCTAGTAGTTTCATTGGAGTTGCTTTTTATTTTTGGGCATTGAATTTATTTATTTATTTATTTATTATTTGCAGTATGCCAGTTAATCAAATATGTCCTCCGTTTATGCTGATCCCTTCGGTTGTTGGGTAGCCCAACTTGAATAATTCAATTGATACGGCCAATCTAACCATTTGTTGTTGTTTTCTCTCTTAATGGCTGATCTATCTTAATATGCAAATATGATCTTCAACTTCATTGTAATCTTTATTTTTTGATATGTAAACCACATACTTACTAAAAAAGATAAAACTTGTCGAGAATTATTTGTAGTCTAAATTTTCTTTATTGATTTTGAAATTGAAAATGATACTTATGCTCATTCAATCATTTTTATTGCAGGAAATAAGACAATATGAAAGCATCAAACAATGGACATCATTTCTCGATTTGAATATTTTTTTATGGAGGTCTTTATAAAATGGCGTCATGAGTAATATTTTTGAGTACTATTGTCATGTGACAAGTTTATATGTACCTTTTAGATTATGGTGTGGGTTATTAGTTTGCTAGAAATATTGGATCTATTTTGTATTACAGGCTTATGTTATGAACCTTTTAATTATGGTGTTTTGGATATTTTGGGATTATGAAAATACGACTCTTTTACCTTTTACAATTATTGAGTATTGAGCCATTAGAATAAATAGTGTTTTTATAGATATATAATGTGAGCAGGGATAAATGAGAGACAACCATTAATGGTTAGCAAATCATTAAAAATTTCAAGCTATATATTATTGGTAATTGAATAGTAAACATAACCTATAACCGCAGTTAATAACCATCGCTACAAATAAAATTCAAAAAGAATTTTATAGCTATAACGACAGTGTAAAACTGATGGAAAAGAGTCCAAATATAGCAGCGGTTCACAAAATGTCGCAAAAGTGAAGGATATAGCAGCAGTCGACCCGTCGCTATAAAGTTAGCAAGTAATGGGTAAATTTAAGATATAGCAACATTTATAATTCTCACTACATCAACCGTCGCAATAAAAATAACTATACCAGCGTTTGAGGAAAACGTCACTATAAGGATATGCCAACGGGGCTATTGCGGCGGTTTGGCTGTCGCTATTTCAACCGCAGGTAAAGGTTTTTTAGTTTTTAACGACCCTTTGTTTTCCTTTTAGCGACAGTTTTGGCCGTTGCTAAAAGTGAAATTTTTGTAATGAAAGCTGGGGTTGTTAAAGGTGAATCCCACCCTGGCGAAACTATGTGTTGTTCAATATATGATTTACTATTGCCGGTATCTATCATGGAATTTACACTTCGAGTTTTTTCTACAAACTTGATTACACAAGAGATCTCAACTAAGTTTAGGTTGCGTAAAACAGGCTAATTAAATGGTAAATATGCATTGTCAGACTGTTCTTGGGAATATTGACTAAAAGGTTGAGAATCAACTAGGTTGACTAATTCTAAAGAGTGTATATGTTCTTCAACAAGTTTATCTTTTAAGGGGTATCTAGTATGAAATTGTTCTAACTACTGTTTTAAGTTGTTTATTTTCTTATTCTAAGCATTCTATGTCAAAATTAGCCTTAGTCTCAATCTCACGTATTTGTAGTCTAAGTTCTTTTACATGTATCTCTAATTCTCTAATTGTTAGGTGTAATTCTTTCTTTTCTAGACTATGATCTTCTCGCATCTCTTCTTTATTTTCTAATGTTATCTTGTGTGTCATATTTAATTTTTCTAAATAGACTATACAATAAGTTATACTGCATAATGAACATTGAACTCTCTTATTTTTAGCTGAAAACCAATTACAATAACTACATCTAGTGGTATCAAATCCTAGTCCAATCCTAAAGTTATGTTGACATTCAGTAACTGGATTGCATTCAATCATCATAAAGAAGTTATTATGGGAAGAAGATATTCCTATTTCTTGGTTAAGTTGTCCTAAAATATTGTCGATATTGGTATTGCTTTCTGAATCACTATCTGAGCTTAGGGCTTCTATTTAATATTCATAATTACTGACTATGCTATAAACGTCTGAGTCATCACTGCTTACGCTTACTATATCTTCTTCTAAATTTTCTATAATATGTAATCTTTCTATCTGTTTATTAGTATTAGGCTTATGTCTTTTGAGGTAGTTTTTTGCAAAATGATTAGGTTTTCCACATATAAAACAATTGCATTTTTTACTAGTAGGTTTCCTGACATATTTTTGTTTTTTTTTTGTCTTTCACTTCCTTGGGTAATTGTTTATAATTTATTCTATTAAAAGTTTTACTTTTTCTAATAAATTTTTGTTTTCTCCACGGTTTCCTATATTTTTTCTTCCAATACTTTTCTTTTTTATATTTCCTATAATTTTTGTATTTTTTCCTATTATATTTACCTTCATATTGCCGAGGAATGTATATTATGCTGCTACAAAATCCATAGTTTTGTTTTTTCAAATCTTTCTGTATTTTAACTTCTATACATTTTTCTCTCAGCCTATGGAATGCAAAAACTATTCTAGGTCCTATTCTTAAAGCACCTCTTATGTTAACTTCTCTATTAGTATTAGGCTTATGTCTTTTGGGGTAGTTTTTTGCAAAATGATTAGGTTTTCCACATATAAAACAATTGCATTTTTTACTAGTAGGTTTCCTGACATATCTTTGTTTTTTTTTTTGTCTTTCACTTCCTTGGGTAATTGTTTATAATTTATTCTATTAAAAGTTTTACTTTTTCTAATGAATTTTTGTTTTTTTCCATGGTTTCCTATATTTTTTCTTCCAATACTTTTCTTTTTTATATTTCGCATAATTTTTGTATTTTTTCCTATTATATTTACCTTCATATTGCTGAGGAGTATATATTATGCTGCTACAGAAACCATAATTTTGTTTTTCCAAATCTTTCTGTATTTTGACTTCTATACATTTTTCTCTAAGCTTGTGAAATGTAAAAACTATTTTAGGTCCTATTCCTAAAGCTCCTCTTATATTTACTTCTCCTAAGGCTATTCTTGTTGGTAAGTTTGCATAATAAATCGACCATTTATTTTCTATCTCTCTTCCTAATTTTCCTGGTAATTTCCTTAAATATTTATTTCCTATTTCTTCATCAAAACTCTTTCATGTTCTAGTTACTATGGCTAAATATTCCTTGCTAAAAGGTAGAACATATTTCCAACTTCCTATTGTTATCTGATCTAACTCAGTTAATGCTATACTTTTAGTATAATCATTTCTTCTAGAAGGGCCGTATCCTATAAGCATTTCTTTTATAAAACTAGTAAAATTCTATGGGTTATCTCCTAATTCTTTAAGCTGTCTAATTGTCTCCTCATATTTCCTTTAAAAGTTAAATATATATTAAAAGCTAAATCTCCTAAAAGTGTTTCCATATATTCCCACATATTAGTTGATTCAAAGGGATTATTCACCAATGCCTTTACCTCATCCTTTTCCCATTGCTCTATTACTTCTTGCCATATCTGTGGGTCGAATTTAGCTAAGTCTAAAAGGGTTCCCTGGTTGGTTGCTGGTTGTAGTTGTATGCTCATATCTGGTTGTCTGCGTTTTCTATGAAACTTATACTGTTTATTAGGATATGCTTTACTACGTCCTGTATTGGTTAATGGTCTCCTTCCTCCTATTTCATATTGCATTGGTTCTACTGGTTCTTCAACTGTATGCCTTGGGTTGCTAGTGCCTGTGCTTTCTATTGTTTGAGTGTTCATATAAAAAATTGTCTTCTAAGTTAGATTGTGTTGGTATTTTAAATATTTTGTTAAGATGTGTTTTATCTTCTAAAATATCATCTACATATTCAATATGAAATTCTTGGTTTAAAAATGACATTGCATCCTCATGGGTATCTCTCCTGGCTATATATTCATAGTATCTGGTATATAATATTTTATTCATATCACATAGAGTAAAAATTTTCAAATCTATCTCATCAACATTATATATCTTATTTTGTGATATTATTTTTTCTTCTGTCATTACATAAAGTTGATTTATGTCACTATGATTATCTTGATTTTCTTCCCTACCTATATTACTAAATTCATCATCTTCGGATTTTTTTGGTGCTACATATGTATATTGAGTAAATCTTACTGCATAATTTCCATCTGCTTTTTAATATAATAAATTATCATGAGGGGCTAACCTCTTTTGTCCTAGGAAGTCTCCTAAATTCCAATCTAGTGTTGTATTGTCTTCAAAACTATATTTTTAGCTGGTAGTGCCTTTATCCCTTTTGCGCCTAACATCTAAACTATTTGATCATTTCTAAGTCTATAATGGGTATTGTTTTCTGAGACTGCTAAGCCTAAAAACCCTGTATAAACTAATAAATTCTTTTCTCCTTTTTTTCTTTTTATATCCTCCACTGTTAATTCCTATTTTTATCTTTTTATGAAAAGTCGAAGTTGGTAAAAGAAAATCCGATGTAAAATAAACTATTCTTCCTTTCGAATTCATATCTAATTCATAGTCGCCTAAAATACTTTGTCCTACATCATTAAACCTATCATCATAAAGACATACAAAAAATTTAGCTTCTGTAGACGCGCCCCTAGGTCCTCATGCTACAGTTCGAACTCAAATGTCACGGTTCTTAATTTGATCTCACAATGTGCAATGTGAGATTGATAAATCACCAAAGAGCCCAAATCCGGCAAATCGTTTTGGAAAACTGATTTTTAAGAAAGAAGTGCCAAACATGGACTGCTTTGCCATACCAAAAAAATTTAAAAATTAAAAAAAAAAAAAAAAAAAAAAGATACAGAGTCGCCACCTCAATATTTTATTTTTGGGGGAATTTAGGAAACCTGACTCGTGCCTAAGGCCACGTGTCTGTCATCACCAAAGTTTCTTCGGCTCGGGAACTTGGGTACGAGAGGGGAAGGTCATGCAATGAGCACCCCCGCTCGCCCGATCAAAAAGATCGGCCTGTACTAAGCATGATATTTTGTTTTTGAAAACACATGTGCTCTTATTGCGATTAATTAGCTAGAATTACTATGTGATGCGCACAACACACAAGTATAGACGAGATCGCCTAATTTGGAACAAAGCATAGCATATCCGTTTGTTTGAAAATGGTTTGAAGGCGCTACTCGTAAGTAGGCTAAGACGTGGATTTGCCATCCTCAGGTGGGCTTAGAAAAAAGGATTTTGCCACCTCAAATGGGCTGAAAACTCGCATTTGACGAATTGTTTCAATTCAAGTAACCCAACCTTCACCCACAGGCATTCAGGCAGTTATATCATTTAAGCAAATAGCCTCATGGCAAGCATGCTATCATGGCAATCACTCACACTCATACAAGATGCTAAAGCATAAAAGCTTACCTAGTACTCCGAGCCAAAACAACAACTAGTTAGTAATCAATGCATGATCCTAGTTCATGTTAAGATGGCTAATGCAACGCATGCAAAATGAAACTAGAAATAGGCTCGGCTATTCTAAAATGGCATATGAGATGCAACTTGATAATCATGTATTCAAATTGGTATTGAAATACAATGCAGTTAGCATGATGCGCCGAGCCCGGTGCATGCAATACAGATGAATGAATGCAAACATGCGAGCATAAGGATGTAATTGAA